TTTTTTTATATAGAAAATGTGAGCTTTTTTAACATTTGTTAATGTGGGAAATTTCTCAAAAACTGTCAAGTTCGATATTACAAAGTTTACAAAACTTTCACTCTATTAAGTACCAATAAATCCCATTTTTGATGAGCTTTCATTTGTTATAAACTTCATTATACACTCTTGCCTAGAATAATATTATTTTCTATCTCATATCTTGAGGTATCAGGCTAGTTGACCGCGTCCAGATACACAAAAGGTAATGTTATCTACATTCTTATTATTAAAAATAATGTGATGAAAAATTCTGGCAGTAGGCGGGACGGGACGGGGCGGGGCGGGACGCTCGAGAAAAACGCGGGACACGGGACGGGACAGAAAAATGGTCGTCCCGCCGATCTCTGATCTATATTACAAATTGAATATTTTATTTAAAGAAAATGATAAATTCAATCATCTTCTTTTTACGATAAACTTTGTTTTAATATAAAAATTTTTCAAAAGAATATTTATTGTAGGATTTTACTTTAACAATATTTATTTATTTAATAAAACAAATCTAAATCGATAATTAGAACAAAAAATATTCAATTGATAATCGTTTATTTAAATTGAAAATCTATTTAAATCGAATAAGAAAATGGATTTTATATAAATAAAAATAATTGCTTTTTTATTATTCATATTCTCAATATTATTAAATAAATGTGTTTAATCGTCAACATTTGCTTAATTCAATAAAATATATTGTAAAACTCGTCAATGAAATAATAAAAACTTCTCTTTAATCGATATTGTTCATGTAAAATTGAAATATATTAAGATGAAATAATTTATTAAAGTATGTTTGTTGTCGGGACGGAATCGATTATTCTCCGAAAAGAAAAATATTTTTAAGAAGAAATCTGCTGAAAATTATCCATAAGAAATTTTTCAACATAAAATTGATGAAAAACAGAAAAAAAACATTGATTTTCCTTTTTTTTTGATAAAATATAGAAAATGATTTTGTTCAAAAACAAAATAATGTTGTTCGTTAAAGTGTTAATGCGTCATATATTCATATGACTAATAATTACTCACAAGTTTTGCAATACTTTTATAATTCATAAGAAAAAAAAAGTAAAATATTTCTATCTTGAATAGTTGTTTGTATAAGCGATACACATCAACGTCATCGTCAATTAACAGATAGATTAAAATGAACTCATAGAGGCGATATTCTAATACAGGCTGGAGATATAAATAATTTTGGACATGGCGCAAAACCATTTGACGATTTTGATCAATGGTTAAGTGAACTTCCATTTAAATATAAATTAATTATTGTTGGAAATCATCAATCAATATTAACTCCTTCACTTAATAATGGACAATTTTTAAAAGATGAACAAATTCTTATTGATGAATCTCTTTATATATATGGTTCATCATGGCGACCATCAGGTCAGTCGACATAGTCAGATATTCCTTCAAATTCACATATTGTAATAACACATAATCCACCGATTTCTCTAAATGGATCACATGTTGATTTGGAATCAAATTTAGGATTAAGATTAAATAAAATAAAACCTTTACTTTCAGTATTTGGTCATATACATAATGATTATTGAGTTTGAAAACAATCAAATGGAATTATCTTTGCTAATGCAACATCTTATTCTTCTTCCACATCTCAAACATTGAACGATCCTTTAAGATTTAAAATTTCAATTGATGAAAACTCACATGCTTCTATTGACCATCTTATTTAATTTACTTTTATCAAATTCAAAGTGATTAGCTTTGAGAATTGCGCGACCTCAAAAATAAATAATAGATCGCTTCATTTTGATTAACATGAAACTGATTAACTTACACAAGCCGACAATGAAAATAAGTACATAGAAATAATACTTCTCATCATTTTTCCAATTCATTATATGCCATTTTAATAGTCATATAATGCATAGTTTTGCATTGTATAAGCTACTAAAAAAAGTCTAACTGATAACTTTAAATATGAGAGAAAGGTGAACCAAAAACCGAGAAAGAATGATGATGTATTATATAAACAACATCTTAGTTAATTGTTTTAATTTATCTTGAAAGATATTTAAATATATTGATGAAAATTTTTGTTGAAATTGATAGATAAATAATTCGTTTTGAATATTTACTAAAGCATCTGATATAAGCAGGCATGGTTGAATGGTTACGTTGCTCGACACGTATCTACAACGTACTGTGTTCAAACTACAGTATCGTCATCCATGGAAAAACTCTGAACATGTCATTTACAGCTAAGTTGTCTCATCTATATCATGTTGCAGATACATCGTCTGTAAAAGGAAAAGATGATAGAAACCAATCACATATGGATCGCGTAATAATCGCGGCTGACCCCAGTGGGTGATACGCCTATGGGAGATTATTATTATTATCTAATATAACTCGGAAAATAAGTCCTAAACAACCAGAATAAGTTTTTATCCTTTCATCAAAAATACATATTCTTCTTTTCTCGATTTTGACTGTAACTTGTCTCATTCTCGACAAACAAAATTTACAATATGAATTAAGTCATTGAATAAAAATTCATCAAAACTAATTCACAACTTACAAATTACCACGAATGAATCCGTATTGTGCTCTTAATTCAAGAACTGAATCGGAGAATAGCGAGATATTTATCTTATAATGTCTTTAAAAATGAAATCAATGAATCATGAAAAAAAAAACAGTTAAAAATCAACTCTGTCATATTCTTTATCTATAATAAACTTTAAAATCAATTATTATTAACCTCGTCTAAAATAAAAATTAATCACATAATGAATAAAAATTGTTTGATATTGATCATTATGAAATAAATTGATAAATTGGTCAATGTTTAACTAAGAATACAATGATTTAGCATTATTTAATAAATTATTTAATAAAGCCAATATATCAACTATATGTACAACAATTGATTTTGATATAAATGAAATAATAAAACGAATATCTTTAAATTATTCAATTTATATATATATATATATGTTTTGGTGATTCTTCGTTTTCTGTTGATTCCAGTTGTAAAAATTTAAGGAGAAATAAAATACTATCAAGATCAACTAGAATTTAAAAAAAAAAGAGAAAATTTCAATTTTTTTATAATGGGAAATATACTTTTGTCTTTTTTACCTAATAAATGATAATTAAAAATGAGTTGATCAAAAATGTTGAATTATTTGATTATCAAGATTCATTTCATTACTATTTCTTTCTACAATTTGTACTAAAGATGTAATATATGTTTATATTATTCGTGTTAATCTAAATTATTTAAATATTAGAATATTCGGATCAACAAACATAAATAAATCAGTTCAATTTAAACCTAAACTTAGTCTTCCTAATTCTCCAAGTCTTTTGATCATATATTGGAACTACGTTTAGACATAAATATCATATTCTATAAAAGTAAATAATCATCTGATGTTATATCATTGAAATATATTTCAGAAAAATTTCAATCAATAAATAATTCTATAAAATTTTCGCTAAACAATCTATTTGCAGGATCACACACTAAAATAAAATGTGTCGCATGTGTCGCAAAGTGCAACACAATGTACGACACATTAAAGTGCGACACGATGAGCTTGTTGCGACACATTTTTTCCATTGAACGTGCGACACATTTTCTGCGACACATTCTGAAAACGTGGTTCGAATCAATTTTTCACGACATTGATTTTTTTCTTAAAAAACAAAAAATTACTATTTCATCAGTTACAAACAAATTCTAAGAATATTTAATTTTGAGATTCAGACGATAAGATCTTGAGATCTAGTCGTCTTCAGTCAATTTAACCCTTTGGAGGCCAGTGGGACATATATGTCCAACCTATTTGGTTTTGGTCAAAGAACTATAATAAATTAGGAAAAAATGATTCTGGTAGAAAGAATGATAATACTGCATAGATGGGGTTAATTTCTGGCTATTCGAGTTAAAGTTCAAGTTATATAACAAAGAAAATGACGTCATATATTTTCTTGTTCAACTGTACAATAAATAAGGAAAAAAGGGTGTGGGTGTGGGTGTGGGTGGGCGTGAGTATGGGTGTGTGGGTGGGTATGGGTATGGGTGTGGGGAGTGGGTGTGGATGTGAGTGTGGAAGTCAGTTGGTTTGCTCTTCATCAACATCCACACGTTACGCACCCACACCCACCCTTACTAAACCTTCTGTATAAACTATACTCATGTTAGTCGCTATAAATGAGCATGTCAAACGTGAAGTATCCCAATATTGATGACCTGATCCTCGCGCATGACAATCTGGATCAAGGTCTACCTAACTGCACCCTAAACATCGACAGAAATCGGCTATACAAAATTTGGCCCGCAAAGGGTTAATCTTGATCAGACTACTTCAAGGTAGTCCATTCTCGATCATTGACTTGTCTCTCCACGTATTACTGAATAATGAACTATTGAGAAATAATCTAGAAAAAGACATGAAAATATGTAAGTTTAGTCCGTTCAATAGCGTCGGATATATATATAACAGAACGTGCAAAACAAAACGGTGAATGAATAGTCAGCATATAGACTACAACACATCTGTAGTGCGACACATTCTGACTGCGACACATTTTTCTAATGGGCCGTGCGACACAATCGTCTGCGACACATTTTATTTTAGTGTGCAAGGCAGAATTTCTTCACGATTTTTTATAACAAAGCAGTTTTACTGCTATTTTGTCCAAAACTTTTAGTCTAAGTGACTTCCGAAAAAGTAGTAAATAATTTCTTCCATTTATTCATAAGATAAATAAACCTTACAAATCTTCTCTCTGAGATAAAAAAAAAAACGTTATCAAATTAAGCTTGATCAGTAATGACTTTATACGCATGTATCAAGTAATCATGACCTTTGGAGCAATCCACATTTAGATAAAAACTACTTAGGGCATACCAAAAGTAGTGGCGATCTGATGTCAATTTCGTATAGAGAGCTTGAAGAAATTTTCTTTTCCTATGCAGTGATAGAGAAAACGATGCTCTATTTTTCTGTGCTATTTAATCAATCCTCAATTAATGTCATAATAATAAAATTTCGATAAGAACTGTTTTTGTGTATAACTTTACTAATACGTGAGACTGATTAAACGACTACACCTTGCATTTTTGTATTTCAGTTTTCAATTACTTAATAGGATGTATTCAAAAACAAACTACACCACAAGATGCAGCGTGAAAAGCTCTACAATTTTTAAAGAACCACTTATTTTATATTTCAGATAAATAAAAGGAATTTCTCTTCATATAGAAAATAATGATTCTTTTCGAACCAAACGGACAGAATTTTACTTGTTTTTGTAAACAAATAGTACGCAATTTAAATAAGTGGTCTTATACAGATTGTAGAGCTTTTCACGCTGCATCTTTTGATGTATTTTGTTTTTTTTAAATAAAATATATTAGTGATAAAAAGATGAAATGATAAAAGAATCAATTCATCTTGTACCATAAAATATCGTTTTCTCACGATCGAAGATTGGTCGCGCAAAATTTTGCTCATTATGAAAACGAAAAGTGCAACTATAGAAGAAACGGTCTTATGTAAATTGTCGAGCTTTTCACGCTGCATCTTATGGTATATTTTATTCTTTTGATACAGCCTATTAAGTGATTGAAAACTGAAATGCAAAGAGTGACTATTTAATCAGTCTCACGTATTAGTAAAGTTATACACAAAAACAGTTCTTATCGAAATTTTGTTATTATAATATTAATTGAGGATTGATCAAATAGCACAGAAAAATAGAGCATCGTTTTCTCTATCACTACCTAGGAAAAGAAAATTTCTTCAAGCTCTCTATACGAAATTGACATCAGACCGCCACTACTTTTGGTATGCCCTAAGTAATATTCCTGATGTACTTGATTGATAATCTCCTCTTAATTCCATTCAAAATCCTTAAATTTTTCAACATTATCAAATCATTCAAAAAACCCAATTTTCAGTTGTTTTGTTTTTTGTAAATGAGGTAGAAAGAAACTTTTAAAATGTGGGGAATCGAACTGTAAAACAACGTTCTTCATTGATTTAGTGTTGATTTCGTTGGCAAATAAGAAATGATGACAGCAAATTTTTATATTTTCTTTTCTTATTATGCTTTTTTCCTTTCATTTTTTATTCCAATATTTGCATTGTCTGATAAATACACAAATTCGATTGATGAAGTGGGAAGAAATAACAAAACGTGAGTAGTTATAAAGTAAAGCAACATTCATTTTCCATTTTGTTTTTTCTTTATCAAGTAAGTACTGATGACTGAGAATTGCTAGTTTTCATATTCGTTGTTATACTTTCTCAGATACTATCAGTGTTTCGATAATTACGGACTCTGAGTGAGTAGGAATTCCATTA